AAAACTTTAATGCAGCATCAGTTGAAAGAATAGATGTTAAAAAGAAACTACTGAATGTTGTAAATACCAGTAAAACGGGTTATAAAATTTAAGAAGCTAGAACGAATGACAGTTGTGCCTCAGTAAACACACGAAGATTGGTAAGACTTTTGTTACAAGTTGTAACAGATTGTATGTGTAAGATAATCCGATGAAATGATTTGTAAATGTAGATGAAGCTTTGTAAATGTCAGGCACTAAATTATGCAAACGTTTGGTAATTAAAGTACACTTAACATAATTGCATTTGCATAAGGTATGTAACAGGTTTGAATGAGAAATGTGATGCGCTTTCATTTGCTTTAAATATTATAATATTTTAATTGTTACAGAGGGAATTGCCGATTTCATAGAACAAGACGGAGATAGTGTATAGTAGAACAACTGGCTGATTTAACTACTAAATATTTTACGAGAATAAGTACACGTAGTATATTTCATGTAATCCACGTCATAAATTGTGATAACCAAGTCATCAAAATCTATATAATCATTTAAAGCCCATTATTAGCAAAGACATATATTGGAACAAAATTCTTAAATATCAGTTATTCAACAATAATATTGCATTTTCATGTTACTTTTTTATGGTAAACAAATTTTCATTTAAGGCGCGTACGCAAGGGCGTGGTAGAACAGTGGAAAACTATCGGAATTGAAAAAGGTCATAACAGAAATGGATGAACATTTCAAAGAGATCTATACGTAATAACCGGTATGTGATATCTATGAAACAGAGATATGTACGCTACTTAGACAGAGATATGTGAATATTTTGACTGCTTGTTTAAGTAAGATATTTTTCTGTGATAATTGCTGTGATTATAGATACATACGAGTAGAAAACTTAATACAAAATGAACTGCATTAAACAGGATTAACGCTCATATTGCAGTACTTTGATCTATATTTAAAGTTTAAGGTATAAATATTTAGCAATTTACGTAACTTCTCCATGCTTTGTGATACTTTTCTGAACAGAATGGCTAAATTTACTGTTATTTTGTAACATTATAATACCGAGCGAATGCGCTTAATACATCTAGATCAATCTTAATGAATTGCCTTGAATTGCAAATTTGGCCATATCATAGCATTATCACATTTTACGAACCAAAGTAAGCTATGATAGTTTTTCACCCTTCCTGGTGGGGCGTCTTTTGCTGAGTGGTTAAGGTCGTTGACTTCGAACCACTTGCCTCTCACCGCTGTGGGTTCGAATTCCGACAAGGACTTTGGATTCTTTCATGTGAGGAAGCTTTCCAGCTAGCTTACGGAACGTCGATGGTTCTACTCAGGTGCCCGGTCGTGCCTGAAATAATGCACGGAAGTGCACCTGAGGTCTTCCTCCACCAGTAAAAGCTGGAACGTCGCGATATGACCTATACTGTGTCGATGTGACGTAAAACCTAAATCAAATCAAAGCACTGAATGTACTGATGGGGAGGCTATGACAGAATGTTTCAGACTTATAGTTTCTTTTCTTTTTGCTTAAAATGTGCTGTTATTTCAATTATTACCAAAATAAGAAGATATGCACATTGCGCCATTTATCCTTACTGTTGTGTTCAACCATTCATATATATGGTTTATATGGTTGACTATTCATTTTGTTAATATTCCAGAACATTTCATTGAGGTCTACATTCGGACTGTTAATCATGCAAATTTTGAAAAACCTAAACTGCCATTTATAAATGACATACCAGCAAGTATGACGACTGTTCATTATAAGATCATAATACCATTTTACAACTGACGGTTCCTTATCAAAATATTCTAGGACTGTTCATCATAAATACTTTATGTCATTTTGATATCATTGAATGATAATAACAACTGCAAGTTATGCAACATTTTTATTGAACATAAAAACTATACTTATTTACATGTACCATAATTAAGATCAATAAGACACCACTGTCTTGGAATTAGTATTAATATTCATGCTCTACGGACAGAAAGTTGTCTTCTCCCGAAGCAAATCTCGAATAAAATCACGTTTCAGAAAATTATTCCCATTTCATTACTCGTCGCTGACTTTGACGGCTTCGGATAATATTAATTCTAAATATTTCTTGAAAAAATACATATCTGCAAAGCTTATTCAAAATTGAATTAACCTAAGTGAAAATTGATCAGGAAGTTATATCTTCTTTTTTACCGCCAACACTCAAACAACTTATGGTAGTTAATCGATAGATTCTACATGTATTTTTAAACCTCACTAGCTTGAAATATATACTGCGGAAAATCTGTTGTTCACAGAGTGTGCGGTTATTATGTAGGGTTTTCCTTGTCGACCATTTCCCGCAAATAGATGAAAACATCGAAGCGTCAGTGCTATGAATGGTGTTATAAATAGCGTGTTTTGGAAGTTTTTGTTGAAACTTCTCCAAATCCCTCCAGAGGCATGCACGTCGCGGAGAAGGCACACGGCAGGTCAAGGTCAAGTCATCTAAAGTACCAGAGGTGATTGGTTGACCTGTCGAAACTTACTCTGGAGGTTTGGCGCTAATAAATGCAGTTTCTGTTGTCGTCAGTCTGGAAGTTGATGCCTTGACAGTATTGTCGTCTCCTTTACCACTAACGAACGAAGAATGGGCTACCAGGAAGATTCTGCTTGAAAAAGACGTCCCCCATGCTATAATCTCGGACATATGGTTATTCCGGCGCCGAGTATAAATGAACTTAAAACACACACACACTTTTGTTGAAAACAAAAAAAAAAACAAAAACAACAACACATTTTCTGTAGTAATTTTTCAAGTGTTGTAAAATGAATATGAAATTCGTCTTATGCCGCCAATTATTTTTAGAACACAAACATATAAGTTCTTTTTATTTATTATTATTTTTTTTAAAGCTTCTTATTGTTTAATATTTTCATGTATCTCATAATCTGTATTGAAAATTTTATTACACATGGACTATCAAATTATGATTCGTTGCCCTAGGATTGAATAAACTTTCTAATTACACAATACGGGGTCATTCATTTGATTGAAGACTGATCTTTGCGTCTTTCTCTGAAAATACAATTTTCCTTGTTAAAACATATTTGACCACATATTTCTGTCATTTAACTCTTCACTTTACTTTTGTACTTTGTTGTACCGAAACACATGTTTCTATTTGTGTTTTCTATTCGAATCTATAATCAGTTTAATGGGATCACCGCCGGGTAAACGACTACTAGGTACTTTTGTCATGTTTTTTACCCCAAATATTTGAATGTTTCTATTGGGATTAAAATGAGCGTAGATAACTTAACAACTGGTTGTATAAATCCCTGAGCTGTTTAATTCTAATTATGAGATTAGTGGATATATTAAGACTTTCACTACAAAATATTCCTAAACAAAAGAGCACACGTTTAAATTTATTCCTATACAAATAAAAGATCAGAGTAGGGATCTGTCAATTGCCAGACATATTTTTAAAAGATACTTTTATGTTAAAAGTTTGATTAATGAATTATGTAATATGAAAATATAAGTATTGCTTTTTTATTTTGCTAATATAAAATGTAATCTTGTGGTGAAATTTTGTCGAAGAGTCCTTACGGATTTTGTAGTTAAATAGTTTTTTTTCGGCGATACATGGTTTAAGAATATTATGTTTTCAACCTATATGTTCATCACCATCAGTGAATTTTTAGTTAAATGTATGCAAAATATTTACAAACAGCTATATGATATAGCGGTTTATGAGCGTTTTCCTCGTACAGCCTCCTAAGGTGTACTAATAAGTTAGTTTTCCTTAGTTATCACGCAAGCATGATCCAGGTCTCTGATGTAAGCGACAGTTTACTATTATTTGTATTTAAAAAAATATTAAGAACTATTAATGGTTTATAACAACAAAAGAACATACTACGGTGTTCAACGTTCTAGTTAATGACCCGTCATAAACAGTTGGTCGCTGCGTAGTAATTGGAAAATTGTTATCAAAAATAATAAAGAATATTTGCCACCTAATTAAAGCATTTACCTATAAATTTTCATTTATGCTTTTTGTTAAAAAAATATTGATAAAGTTATTATGTAGAAGGGTTTTCATACCAGAACTATTTATGATCAACGTACGTATGCCTAAACCTGATTACCGCGGCAGTATGATGTAACGGAGTAGTGATTTTGAAAAAATAAACAAACAAAAATCAAGAATTTTTCAGAAAATTATTATATTTACAAATTGCAGATATGAAGTTAAAGAATGAAAATATTTTAATATTGTAAATGTCTGTGATGACTGATGAGTCAGCTTAAAAAAAATCAAGGTACTATTTTTTGACCTGATTACCGCGGCAGTAAGATTTGACAAATGGTATTAACATTGGGGAGGCATAGCCTCCCCAAAAACAAAAAAACCTTCCTGGTTTTTCTAAGTTTTACATATACAGTACCGTTTTAAAATAATAAATCGGACTATTCTTGATCAATTCATGTGTGATTTAATTAAAAGCTCTTTTAATAATACAGACAAATCACAGAAATAATACAAATCAATGTATATATTCATGTTAAAGAATGGTACAGTTTCGACAAATCTTGTTTCATTGTTTTATGTCATTACGTTACAATTAAGTCGTATTTATAGATACATTATTTAAAGGTCTACATTTGTACCGAATGATAAACTTTATTCCTAACTCTAAGATACTGTTATAAGTCAATAAATACGACCTATCAAATAGTGTGCATGTTCACACAATAAAGTGTCCGGTAATGTCATGTACATAGATTATCATTTGTAAAGTAAAATAACCAAAGCTTAAAAGGACATGTGTACTTATAACAATCCTTTACTCGTATACAAAATATGAAAAAGAAACATGCACGTTTCCCTTTTTCTCTTCTTGCGTAGTAAACTTTATCTCGTCACAATATCCTTTAATGACACAGTTTGTTTCCATTGAGTGGTCTTGTTAATTGTACAAAAAACAGAAAGTAGCTTAAATAATGCGAACAGTTTCTGACTGAAGGCTTATAATATAATGTAATACACAAACAAATTTTGGCAATAATGTAAACATCACATAATAAAATAGGAGTTATGAAACATACAAATAACATTCATACATGTCCGTCTATGGGTTAAAATGTAGCTTGATTTAAACCATGTTCCAGACATTGCATATGCATATGAAATAGAGAAAAAAGAATCCCTAAAGAACGTCCAAAACGACATTATTGAAAATGTTACAGGCTCGGTTTGATTAAGCATGTTAATGAATGGTACTGGAAAATGTAAGTTACCTTCCACGCGCTCTAGCATCGGCTTAAGCAGAATTCAACATTTAAACACGCAAATGGTGACATTTTGAAGTTAGAAACATCCGCAGATGTATTCACACGGCGATTACCATCGAACCTTCAATGTGACACGTTAGTACCATTCTATGAAAAGCGACGTTTGGTCTCAAATTAAAAGAATGTGTCCAAAAACGAGAAAACAATGGGCGGGACTAAAAATAATGTAATTTTGAAAGGGGGTCAGAGGTTATGAAACCTTGCATATCACAGATTAGACGTCAAAAGACAAATTAAAAAGCAGGCAAATATTTAATTAGGAATATTGGAACCACTCACCAGGAAAAATGATCAATAGAAGAAACTAAACACTATTGACACGCACACATAACAATAATGTTGTGCTGAGACTAAACCTTTCAAGAGAAGATTTTACGCTATTATTACTTAAGGTCTAGTGTTTAAATTATTTTCTGAAAATTGAAATACAGATTGTGTTAACATTATGTCAAAAATGATTATAATTAAGTTAAATAATTGAATCCAATTCAAACTACGGTATTGTTATCAAAGTTTGATTTTACACGATAATATACATCGGTATAAGTTATTAATTTTTGATATGCCCGAACTTCTTAAAAATATAAAAAAAAAGTACAAATAAAGTAAATCAACTACTAGTAGTTTTTGCAATAAATATTGATAAAGCAATATAAACGTCTGACAATAATGAATATAAAATCAATTTACAACAACTATAACTAAGTAACTCATAAAACGCCATGATGACATTCTTAGCGTAAATTTACCAGATTATTACATATTGTTGAGTACAAAACCGAATCCTAATGGACGAGTACATAGCTGTCAAAACTATATTGCACGGAAAGTCGAGACTGATACAGGTTTTGCAGCTCTGTACGAATTCAATTGAATCATTATTGTTCTCAACCATTTTCAATGACCTCTTTATTCCACACCATCATTTTTTGATATTTTATTATAAATTTATACCTCAGTTACAAAAAGGATTAAATATGGATTTTTACTCTCAAAAAATTAAAAGGAAACTAGACAGCGACCTTTTGGACTCTGGAAAAAACATTAAATTGAATCCAATTATGTTTTCTACTGGAACAGTTGTCGTAAATGCTGACAGTGCAATTGTTAGATTTAATAAGGTGTATCAATAATTATTTCTATGTTGCATTGTCCATCGAGCATTTTGTGTTACCATTTCTTTGAAGTGTTGACATCTGAGAATAAGGGTTTACTAAGCCAGCATTTGGCTTTCTTCACTACTTTGTCCCAATCAAAAGCTTGACCGTCAACAAGGCCGTGATACATGTCGTTAAACGGATTTGCAGGGTCCATGATATATGGCATTTCACTGTAAAAAAATGTGAGATACTTTTTTAGGTTTTTGGTCTAAAACTGTGTCCTCAAACTACTTAATCGGCCTGAACGTAAATAATAAGAGGCTATTATTTCGTTTGTGTGAAATATGGAATATATTTTCACGCAACATGATAAAATGTCACATATTTTCACAAGCCGGGACGGCGAGTGAAAATATGTTGCATGTTATCATGTTTCGTGAAAATATATACAATATTTCAAGAAAAACGAAAAAACAACCTTTTTATTTAATTCAATTATCAAGGAAAAATGGTAATGAATACCCTTGCTTGCCACACAACTGCAATTGCACAGCGCGCAGTAATATATTGATTATTTGCTTTGACTGTTTTTGCACGCGCTATTTGGAGCTAAATTGTGACGTCACGTAAACAACTCTATAAACGTCTGTACAGCGTTAATGACTGAATTAAAGATATTGGTGTTCGGATTTATTTTCTTAGACCATTTTCTATCATTCTAGATAGTTTTCAAAACAAAATTCAACAAAAATTGTTGTTTTTAATTCATCAGATTTTTTAAAACAAAATGGCGAAAGAAGTCCCTTAAAATATAAATAAAAGTTTTGACTCCGCCCACTTTCATATTTATATTTCATTTTTATTTTTTACAAATTTGAAATATATTTGACTGATATAGCACCATATTTCATGGGTAAAATTAAATAACATGTACCATTATAACTCATTTTCCAAAATGTTTTTCGATGTTTTGTAAAGTTGTAAATAGAGTGATAGTTGGCTAGACTCCGGCTCTATTATATGCTAACCTTGCTGCGAATACTATTTGGTAATATACCATATATCTATAAATGATGCACTTTATAACATTGGGGTTTTAAGTCGCTAAATACAGTTAAGCTCATTTGGCAATTTTCCAACTTTACTGATAAATGAAGACATCAGGTGTCCCCATGTGTATTATTTCAGGCGCAGGCACAAACGGACTCCTAAGTAGAACCACCGACGCTCCATAAGATAACTTATAAGCTTCCTCAAATGAAAGAACATACAGATCCTGGAGGGATTCGAGCCAACAACGCTAATGGGCAAGTGGTTTGAAGTCAACGACATAGACGCCCAAAAAATACTTTTGTCAATGTTTTTGTAACTTTACCTTGTATCGACCATGTCCATGCTATATTCCATTTGTCTCTGTAAAACAATTCGAAAGTCATTGTGGTTTACAAGGGATTTCAGAACAGCATGAAGGGCATGTGTCATTTCAAATTTGTCCGGGTTCCCTGCATCGTTCCATGAGCCTATAACCACAAGTTCTAAAGCGTAAGAACTTGGCCATTTTTGGCTACAGTTTCTTCTGTCGGCGAAGCTTGGCATTTCAGCCTCGTTACTCTTCTGGGATAAAAGAACAATTTTGAGTTTCAAGATATTGTAAACAAGAAGTATCTTTTAAAAAAGTTACTCAGCCAAGTAAAACTGGTTAACTCGCATGTTTTAGGTCTTAATTTTCCATGTCAAGTCAAATAGAAATGTTGGCAAAGCTTGCATAACAATGACATAATTTCTTGTCTTGAAAATTGAAATACTTCAGATGTACGTGTATCTAAACGACCCTGTCGTATTACGATAAGTGAACTCAATTTCTTTCCCTAACATCTACGCAGTCGGTAAGCAATTATTTTTTATGAATACTTGATTAATGTGCAAAAAAGTATGAAAATTATAAACATTATATCAATTGAACATATCTCAAATAAGCATATAATATATTCGACACTTAAATACACACATCATAAACTGAGGGTTCCTGACAAGTCTTTATTTTGGACAAAATTTAGAATTCAGATCTTGTGTAAAATAACTCAGTTATTTTTTATGTAAAATTAACTGTTCACTTGAAAATGTGAAGAGATCTTAATGCACTGCAAACTGTTTTGTAGGAGGAAGTTAACAAAACTTAAATATCTGAGCAAGTTAACTAGAAAGTTAAAGAACTTTCCTGTATATTTTATTTTAGAACTATCGTTCACAATTTATTTTGTTTGTTTGTTTCATTTTACGCCTTTTCCCAACAGTATTTCAGTCATATAGGCGGGTAGTTTCCTAACCATCGTTCCTGGAGAGTTACACGAGTACTAGACTACCTTCCTCCACGCTAAACTACCAAAGCATCTCCCGGGGATCGAACCCACGCCAGAGAGGTAACTGGATTAGAAGTCATCGACTCTAACCCCTCGACTATGGCAAGAACTAACCTTTACATTTTAGCTTAGAACTACATGTATTTAAGAATGACAAGAACTATCCTTTACTTTTTATTTTAGAATGACCAATGAGATTAGAGATTCCATTTTGCAATTTAACAATGACCAATGAAAACTCTTCGTATATCCTTTATCCAATTTTTTCCCGTACATTTTACAGGAAGTCAAACTGATTTAAGACCGGCATTCGGCCGGAAAGAATATGTCTTATTTAAAACGAAAAGAAACTTATTTTTTAATCATTTCACCTCACATGTCAAAGTAAAAGTATATATCTATGAAAAAACCGAACAGCGGATTTTATTTAATGTAAGACAAATTTTATGTTTACCTTCAGCTTTTCGTTTTTCCAGTACTTTAATAGTTTTATCAAGGACTTTACTTTTGCTGGTAACTGTTTTATAATTTCTACCTGTAGAGGCGCCAGTGACACCGAGTACTCATGAATATTTGCTTCAGTAGCGTATTTCATCTTTTGAAATATTTCTTTTGGAGTATATCCTGTTTGAAAAATTTAAGATCACAATTTTAAAAGAAGATAAAATAGAGGGAAAAAAGAATCCATATAGAACATTAAAAGTTAAAATTAAGAATGTTGCAAGATCGGTTTGATTGAGTCTGTAACCTTACAAATGAAAGTCAGTCTAAAATTATTTTTTTAACTATTAAGGGCTCAGCCTTATGCTTATTTATGAAAAAGACTGTATAAAGATATTATATCTTGTCCAAATAATGACACATATAGTATATGTATGTATGTATGTATGTATGTATATGTGTGTGTGTGTGTGTGTTGGTGTGTGTGTGTGTGTGTGTGCGTGTGTGTGTGTGTGTGTGTGTTCAAACCATAGAATTTAATAGTAACGAATAAAAGGTATCAACCTAATCCCAATAAGTCCACCGCAGGTAATATGTCGGCATCATGCGTATGCCCAAAACTACATGTTATCTCAATTTGCACAGAATAGCGTGTACGTACACTTCTTCGATGATGTGACTGCGCATATTGTAACAGGTAGCGCTCAAGTTTCTTTAGAAGGTCTGGCAAATCGATCATCAATTTTTCAACATTTGTGTAGTTGTTCAGCATCATAACAAGGTCTATATCGGATCTGTTCTTCACAGCAGTCCCTTTACCTAATGACCCAGCCTTGGAAAAATAAAACAAAAGGACTATTTACTTACAGATATAATCATATCATGACACTTTGAAATGTTACCTAGTGATATAAAATATATGTTATTGAATTTCTCAACAAAATTGTAAAGAACATACCTTAATGACTCGTTTTGGTTGAAGCTTTCCAGACATGTCATGCAAATGACGAACAAGACCATCTATCTGGACTCCACAGCAACTGATAAATTGAGTATCCGCTTGTATATGGTCAGCAATAAATGTGTCGAGCTCGCTGCTTTGTAACAAATATAAATCATTGTAGTGGTTAGAAGTTTCAATTGGCATTCCACTCACGCCATCGTGCCCTTTCTGATTCATATGATCTCTAAGATGCTTTCTTTTTCCAAAACGCTTTAAACAATCAACACATTGGAAATTACCCGTTCCTAATGTGTGATTAATAATCATATCTAAATGCTGCTGCATATCTCCATGCTTAAGAAACAGTCTGCCACATGTACAGGTAACGTAGCCATGGATGTGTCGTCTATGGCGATACCTCTCACCTTTACTAAGAAACTCAGCCGAGCAGTCGGGACATTTCACCATTTTGATTATTCCTGGAAGGACATTAAACAGATTTTTTTTATTAAACTGATTACTTTTGGAAATTTGGAAAAAAAGTCAAGAGAAGAATGCACTTTACCTTTTGACAAACTGATGAAGGTAACACAGACTTTTAATATTTTTAAAGAATATTGGTCACTTTTCTTTTTAGTATATTCTCGGGAAAATATTTTAAGAGCGTCATTTATTTCGTAACTTCAAAACCCGTTTAAATTCATAAAATCAATTTATGGTTTATCAAACTTAATTGATTCCAGAAAAAATATTGGTTTAGCATTTTTTAAATGACTTAATGTCGTTTCTATATGCATGTACCATATTTAGTGATTATTAGAAATAATAAAAATCCTTTTTATATAAAATGTTTGAAATTGCTTTCGTTTTTCGTTCAATGCAATTTCATAAATAAAATAAAATAAATAAGCATACTCATACCAGACATAAACTGCTTCTAAACTGTTTAATTATCATTTTCAATCATGTATAAAAAATCCTTTTTATAATATTTATCATATATCAAAGAAGTTACGAAAATTACAAAAGTACTTACTTCATGTACCATATGGATATAAACGCACACATGATATTCTATTTCATATTGATTTTTAGCCGTTGCCTTATTTGAAAACGTTTTTTTTTATCAATGCATTTTGTCAATACAATAAGATCGATATTAGTTATTATATTTCATGATCTATATATTGATTAAACTAGTCAAAATATATAGACCTCTTAAACTTAGTTTTTGAAATCTTGTTCCGGGTCGGTATCTCATTTCGGGAGTTATTGCATACATAATTATATTTATTTTCAGTACTTTAAGGTTATTCTTAATGGTTTAAGACATTCAACTAATGTTTAAGATAATACAGGTTGCAAAATTATTTTTACGCAAAATTTAGTAATTTATAAATATGAATAAAAAAGTCTACACAAATTAATTTTTTTCAGCATTTAACAAATTCGTATCGTATTTTATTATAAATTTATTGTAATGATAAAATTTTCATAATTTCATGCCTGCCTATAATTTGTAGTTATTTTCTTTTTCTTATATCATATAAAGGATTACGAACCTTTTTGAACTTTTAAATTTAGAATCATTTGTTTTGTTTCCAATATCAGAAATTTATGGTGCAGGTATAGGATAATCGTTTTCAATTAATTGTAAGAGGTTTGAATCACAGTCAAGACAAACGATTTTAGAGTCTATTTATGTGATATGAACCTTTTTATCAAACATTATTTCAGATATGCAAATATCAAGTATGATAAAATACAAATGATTATCGATCATCATTTCGGAAATATTAGTTTTACGACGTAACGTTAAATTTAAACAGAGTGAGAGAAATTTGTAAACATGTTACCGGAAAATTGTCTGATGTATTGAGATATAGGAAAAAAAGGGAAAGAAAGCTGTACAGGGCAAAATATTAAACAAATTAATCCAGTTGGAGTTGTCGATTTTGCAAATTCCGTTATTGAAAGAGTCTTTATCATACCAATTCCTTTGAGTGTTTTTCATAACAGTTGTATCAAACCAACCCAACTTCATATTTTGATTAAATCATTGTAGAATTTTTCGAGTATTATCGTTCATTTTTAATTGGAAGAACTAAGAAAACTAAAGATGTGAGTAACAGACCTGCGTAACTAACTAATTAAAACTTCAATGCATTATAGACAGCTGTTTGTCGATGAAGAAAACACAACAACCCTAGAGGCTTATACAAAAGAACATTTGAGTCGTTTGAGTCTTGAGGGAGATGCGATGTGTTTTTGAACTGTATTATTAATTGAGATGAAATGGTGTTCAATAAAACGAATGTGAGCAAGACAATAAAGCAATTTAAAGAACTGTCTTTCTGTAACTCAAATCGAAATATTTAATAATTTAAGAAATCGAGTTTGTAGAATTTAAGATATAAGTATAGTATTTTTGTTTCAGAGCAAAATGGCTCCCATGCCACTTTCATACTTTAAATAATAACAGTACTGACTGCCTCAGTGAAATTGTCTTTACAACATTTTAAATGTTCTTAAGGGATTCTATATTTCTCTATTTTCATAATGTTTAAAATCTTAATTGTTTTACCAAATCGGTTTTATATTTAAAGCAGAAATTTCTTCCAGTGCTGCCCGTTTCATTTTCTAAATATGCATGCTATGTGATGAAGAAAAGCTGGGCATTTGTTTTATTTCTATTGATTAAACAATTTACAATTTTATTCATTCTTTGCATATTTATCTGTTTTATAAACACAAAATATGCATGGTACAATATCAAGGTCATGGTTGGTGAAAGGTCAAGGACACATTCATGTCCGCTGTGGAAGGGGATTTAGTTGTTCTTCAGATTGTCTTGTTTTTCTTTTAAAATTCTCAATCCATTTAGAAATGTGTCGATACGTTGATTAAGGTTGACTGACTAAGGCACTCACTGATGGCTGAGCAAAGGGTCTGTCGGACTTGTACCGTCGACCAGAAAAGAGCTTTGTAAGTTTTTGGGTAAAGGAATAAATCCCATGGGTTAGATCTGAAGAGTACGATGGATGTGGCAAGAAAGTAAACTTCTCCGATCTCAAAACTTGCTTCACAAACTATAGACCCTATTCTGATTTTGTTTAAATATTTTTGGCTGATTCGGAGTAGTAAACATCAATAAAAATGTTTGCAAAATTTCTTTGATTGAAAATTCGAAAAAATGTTTAGCATTTGGTAAGCGGGTTGTACCATTTTTTGATAATCTCTTAATATATGGTATATGCATCTAGCAGGCATCAGTTAAAAAATCTGGAAACAAGGCAATCCTTCGGAAGCATTAAAAACACCAAAAATACATGAATATTGCAGACTTGGTTTATTTGAGTCTCGTAAAAGTGAATAAACAAACACAATTACTATCAGACAGTTTAAACAGCTTTATTCAATATCTTGTGGATGTGAATAAGTACATGATTGTGTGTGTGGTAAAGGCTGAAAATATATAAAAAGAAAATACTAAGTACTATAGGTATAGTTCTATCAAAGTCATACATTCATCTCAAATGAAGCAAAGTTCTACTGGTAATTTAGTTCATAAACCTTTACTTGCAATTCAGAAATTAACGTACTTTACTTAAGGTTAAACAATACAAACTTTCTACATCTTCACTGAAAAAAGGTTCCATATGAAATTCTATATAAATTGTTACGAAAATTTAAAGTACGAATATACAAACGTATTTCACCAAATAGTAGCAAAGTACATTACAATATATCAATGTATATACGTCAATCATATAATGTAACAGTCCGTGAGTGGAAAAACCAAAAATACATACAATGTTGTGACTTTATAGACATCTACAGCCAAATCTTTTACAAAAGATTGTAATTTTCTGCTGATCACAGGACTGACATACACTTTCTTTAAATGCAAATATCCAAGTCAAAATTATCATAGACCTCATAAAATATTTCATTTTCTTCAGAAAACAATGTAGTGGTGTTACTTTCAAAATTAGTCTTTATACTTAAAAATACCCCATCTTCATCCAATCACCTCATGTATAAATTGAATCTGCACTTTTTTCAGCCAATCGCTGGCCATGTTACAATGTGATACCCTGACCTAAAGGCAATATTAAATGTTTAGTATTCTAATATCTAATAATAAATGAAGTTGCATATACAATTACCAATATATGGATGCATTTTCACCACTCTTAAGTCATTTTAAACTTTGAAGTTCCTTTTTTTCTAACAAGCGCCATTATGCCGCATTCCGGACATTCTGAAAATTAATGTTAGCATGTGAATTTCATACACAATTCATTATTCTGAAGCCAATTTTGTAACGACTTCTATAAAATCACTCAGATAGCAAAACTACACTGTTCTCATTACAGAAGTGCTTCAAAATACTAATTATGTAACAAAAGGATGTAGCAGGGAGCAATTTTATCACCCCATCCATAACAAAATAGGTGATTTTTCACCCAAATTTAACATTTTATTACCAATAAACTTCCTGAATGAAGATTTAGCTTAGCAAACATACTTAATAACTACTGTAAAGTGACCTGGTTATGGATTTCACACTATTTGTACACACATAGCAACATTTTGGGTGTAACTAGGTATTTCAAAACTGCCCCTGCTATATTTTTCTACTCAAAAAAATTTGCTAATATAGTCTTAAATACAAGCCTAAATCAAAATGTCAATAAAATTCTAAAATTCACTTATATAATTATATTTTATTTCTCTCTTTCATGAATATAAAATATGCAATATATGAAAAAACCACTGGACTTAACAGCACAGTAATAGCCTAATATTTGACTTCTACACCCATTTTTTTGGCCATTTTTGCATTCATTTGGAGCCAAATATGACAATTGAAACCTTCTTTCATGTATTTTACCATGTAAATCACCTCTTCAGACCAAAATGTACTTGGAATGGAAAGTATTTGTGTATTTTTTTTCATATTTAAGTAGCCAAAAACTAGAATGTATGCACTTATCTAAGTTTCTAAATAAATAAAGGGAGGTAATTCACTGAAGTTGTGCAGAATCACCCCCTTTGTGTACATTTATCTACCTAAATAAGTACTTTTTCTGTTTATAGACACATCAGAGACACTAAAGCTGTGTTATAATTGTATCTAATATGATTGCAATATGTTAATGTCATATTTTCAACAACAACAAAAAAAAAAAACAAGAATAAAGATCAACAAGGCAAAGACAACGTTCACAGGACGCGGCCCCCAACACACTGGAGTAGGGCACCAAGAAGGCACCAAACAAAAACCTGGAGTGGACATAAGGGTGAAAGGAGTGGGTATAAAGGCATAGCATGGCAATCATGCAGGTGAATTATGTTTGGTGAATAACTAAACACCTAAAATATGATAAACAAGATCAACAAGGTAAGGCGGCGTTCAATGAAAGGTGTGGTAAACGGAAACTACGTCGGTGCGTGTTATTGTTTCCTTCTTGTCGCCGACGGTAAATAACCGAAAATGAGCGGATAAATACGTTTATTTACGATGATGTAGTGGGCGGGAAAATAGGCGCAGCTTATTTTATCTGCTATTGAAAAACGTGTAAAGCTGAATTATGCTGATCCGAAATATGATGGTTCGTCAATGTAAACCTAAGAAAGTAACTTCTGTTTTGTCGGCGTATACACGAACTCCGCATGTTAAATGAACACTTGGTATTGCTACTATCAGAAAAGTAGTTAAATGTTTTGTCGTTTAACAAAATGTATTTTGTTGAAATGCATGTATACAATGTTAAATCGGCAAACTCAATCCAAGAGTGCAACATTGGAGTTTACATACAAAGAAATACAATTGTATTTTGGTTCAACTCAGATCAACAAGGCTGGATTTTTGGCAACGAATAGCCTTCATATTCCTTCTAAACTTCTCCTCGTTTTCTGTTAGGTCTGTTAACAAACTAAGACCCTTATGGCAACACCTGTGGAAGCAGTAGCGTTGATTAGAATATTGGCTGCAATTAAATGACTTTATAGATGTTGTATCAAAGTTTAGAGACCTTTCTATAGAAAATGTGTCAGAATTAAATCGTATACCCATACATTCACAGTGTATTAACTGGAGTGCAG